TAAATTCATAGCACGGTACTTAAAACATTTCAACATTGTTCACGCTGCGTGTGTGTTATACTCCTTTCGTGTCTATTTAGATTGTAAACTCTTTGGGGGCACAGACTGTTTACTACTCTCTATTTGTACAGCACATAACAATGGAGCCCCATTCATGATTGGTCCTTAGGCACTACCATAATAAACATGAAAACCTACACTGAAGTTTCTCATTTTTAAAAATGAATTTCCATACAGAGACATCTAAAGTTCTAATTCCTGCTGGTATCATATTTGGTAAGTGAAACACAGATCTAGCAGAAGCAAAGTAATACTAGCTACAACTAGTTTTTCATTGAATTCTAAAATAACTTTTTAATCAATGATAAATATTGGTAAATTTGGCTTAAGAAAAAAGGCACTCAATTACAATTTTGTTGTAAGAGGAGCCAAAGGATATACATCTTCCTCTTGTTGTACTAGGATGTCAAGTGAAAAGCTTCGCATAAGGTCTCTGAAATTCAAATGCAGTGGAATACTCACAAAACAGCCTCTTTTAAGGTTATGATATTTCTCATTTGGAGCAGATTTATATATAATTATTTTTCCTGTACTTAAAAAAGTGCTTATCACAAATAATTTTAAACTTGCTGTATTTCTCTGATTTAACTTTCAGTTATAAAATCAGATTTCACAATTCAGAATTACTTAGAAGCATTAGGTAAGATTTAACATTTAATTGTTTTGTAACATGTGCCAGTTCACCCAGTCATACTTAGCAACATTCATTTTCTTGTGGGAAGTGGTCACACGTCCTTTAAAGGTGATTTGCAAATGGGGGGGGGGGGGAAATAGGTTTGTGCCCTTTTTCAGGCCTCCTTATAAGCATAAAAGTTTCAGCATGGCTTTTTTCGGCATGTTTCTTACATTAGAAATTAAAGTCCCACCTAGATTGGGAGACCACCATCACTGGTAAATTGGTGAAATGTAACAAGAATCAAGAGTGAAAGTGGAGCAATTGAGAGGATAAGGGATTTTTAGTTAGACTTAACAGTTTGTTAATAGCAATGGAGTTTCAATTATTAATTTTGGATAAGGGATCACTTTCAGAGAGAGTCAAGTATACCTCTTCACACATTCCTTCAGTTAAAACGATAGAACTCACAAACGTGTTCTGACACTATCAAAAGGTCCTCTAGTGTGGAAGATTACTTTTGAAATTTGATTTATAATTAGGTTTCAGAATTGAAACCCCAATTCAGATGACTGTTTCAGTTCACATATCTTAGAGCTCTTGTTTAGATGGTTTTACAAACAATATATCAATTTGCTTTTGACCCTTTCACACCAGAAGACTAGGTGTTTTTGTTTTTTCTAAAAGGAAAGCTTAGATTCTGCCACCAAATTCTGTGGTTGCGGAACAGCAGAAGACAACGGGTTCTCACAATTAGACCCTTTCCTTGGAGGACACCACTGTCAGCTCCAGAAACTTGGTTCCATCTGGGATGGAATTGGACGATTCTCGTACTGAAGGTTTCATGTGGAAGAGGAATGGGGATCAGTGAGTCCACTCAAATCTAAGGATACCTCCAAACCCAAGGATGCTAGGGCTAGTTCATGTTTTACCACCACACAAGATACAATCTTTCTCCTTGAAGCTGGTTCAACTGTGTTGTAGCTGCAGTTCCCTTACTACTAGGGGCTTTCTACACCATGTCCTCTGTAGCAACTGCTAGTTTATGGTCAACAACTCACAACAACCTTTGCAGTACACCAAGACCAATATATTTTAGAATTTCTTTTACTGAAGTGACAAGCTGCTTTGAAAGCTCCTAAAACTCATTAGTTAAATGTTAAAATCCCCAAAAGGTGGTCTATATCTCACCTCTCCCCAGCTATCAAATATTAAACATTTAATTAATATGGGCTTAAAGAAAGAAAGTGGCAAAGCTAAAAATTGACTTTCAAGCAACACAAAATTTGTTACATTTCCTAGAAATTAGGAAGTCTAAATTAGATGACAGTTGAGCAATCTCAACTGCCAGGCATGTTCTGTTGCTACTAAATTCAACAAAATGACTACAGAATACAAAGCTACAAGCTAAGTGCTAAGGCAGATGTAACCTCACACTTCAGGAGCAGGAGTGTAATAGTAACTGGCTATTTATCATGGTACACTGGCTTTCCTGTAAAGTCCTTTGTCTTGTTCCACTTTGGTTTGTTTTTTTTGAATGGCTGACAGCTAGGTAGTGCAACAGGTTTTGAACCCAGATGTTCAGAAATAAACACCAAAATACGTTAGAGGGGGGTTTTTTTTGGTTGAGATTTGGCAAGATATACAAACACAAAAGGTGAAGAGTACTCGTTTTCCAAATTACTTTGTACATGCTTATCTCTAGTACTATGTGTGATGCTTTGTTACCACCCTTTTTTCATGTGCTGTCTTCATGTTCTCAGCCTCAACTGTTCAAATATCCAGTTATGCCAACTCTGTCAGGCACTTGTCTAACTGAGGACACATGAAATCTTAGTAAGTGGGGAATAGTACAGAGATGTGTTAGAAGTAGAAACCCAAAGTCCATGTACACATTTATAAACAGACATGTTTACTAACCATATATTTTGTATAGGGTGAATTGATCAGACTTCAATCAAAAGTACATTAAAACAAGCTATTTTGTAATGATGCTCAAAGAAGTAAACAATTCCACCATTCAAGTTTTCGCTTGAGCCCCATTTCGTTTTTTTCCCTCTGCCCAAGGGGATAAAAAACTACATCATTGTGATGGGATTTTTCATCATATGTACCTCCTGTTCAGTAAAGATTTTGCTATTCTCTTCCCCAATGCAGGAGGCTGTGAATGTTTCTCTTGCCACTGGCCTTCTTTATACAGGAAAAGGCAGTAATGGTACTGTTTAAGATTTTGCTGCTGTCTACCCTCTGCAGAACCCTGAAAATTATACCACCAAATGGCACCTGCAAGGAGGTTCGTAATCCAAAGTAAGTCTCAACCTTGCAAGTAAAAATGATTATATATTGAACATGTTTTCCTGTAACAGACCTAATGCCAGGTCTTCAGTTTTTGTATTAGTACTGCATTAGTATTACTATTTTCTTAAAGGGTGTGATTTTTTTTAAACCCGATGTCATACCAGTGCAACCCTGTTATAAAGATGCCATATAATAGTGTAGCTTATTTACCTTCACTTATGGGAATTAAGCTATACCGGTACAAGTACTTACACACATATATAACTATGCTCACAGTGACCCGGGGGGGGGGGGGGGAGAGTGGGAAGGA